CAGAGCCGCTGACAACCGAGCAAAAAAAAAAAAAAAGACAACATCTGGCTCACAGTTTAGCCGTCGTGCACCTCACCTCCTGTGATTATCTCTCCCTCTCCCACCGGCCTTACAATGGAACAAAGAGGAGTGTTGTTGAAGGACAGCCATGGGAAACAGAGAATCACTTCTGATGCCAGGGAGGAGAGTGTTCCGGTTGGTTCAAGTTAAAAAAAAAAAAAAAAAAGATTGTGAATGGAATTGAAAAGGCTAACAGTGCACTTTGTTTCAAAGCATGCTTCTGGGTTTCCTCAGTAACCCCCGTCCGTTGGTGTCCTCATCCTCACCCCTCGGAAGCATGTGCTCCGCAGATGAGATTTACTGGAAAACCACCACAAAGTCGATGAGAAAAGAGCCTGCCGCCGTCTGTTAATGCACACGACGTGGATTCCGATGAGTTTAACTCAGGAGAGGCCCGGCCAATGTGATGGCGAAGACTGGCCAGTTTAAATAGACGGCAAGGCCAGTGCCTGCAGGAGGTCTTACTTGCAATATTCGCTCGACGAGAACAATAGTGTAACACTATAGTCCAGAGAAGAAAACTGCCTGAAGATACGTCAGCAGTATTTCGAAAGCTGAGGAAGGAGAAAAGTCAAAATAGAACCATGTGTGTGAATAAAACCCGATCATGTCGTCGTGTCATGTCACAAGAAAAATGTGCAAACCATAACGGACAGGTTGTCGTCCGCATGAATGGACAAATAATTCAGATACAAAATAAAGACATATTTAAATATACCGCGTGTGATGCATTTATCATATAAAATAAATGCATACTGTCTTTAAATATACCGTATTTAATATTTTTACAAACGCGATCGTCAAAAGATATTTCACCATGTTGCTGCAAATTGGTCCTTAAGTCCGTCTGGCTTCCGCTGTCAAGATCCGATCTCGTCCTCCATCTGTCATTGCGCCACGCAACATGAGCTAATTTAACCACCATGGACTCACGCTTTATTAGTCACCATGCTGACTCACGGTAACCTCACGCCTCCTCCTTCTCTCACTGGCTCCATTTCTCCCGCTTGGTGTAGGCTTCCCGTCCAACATGGTCTTGCAGACAGAAATATGTTGTGATGCAACTGGGTTGACCCGTGGATTTCTCCAGGTGACTGGCGGCTTTGTTGACGTGTCTGTTTTGGAACTGTTGCTTGGCGGGATAACGTACATGAGTGGTTCTGAAAGAATATCTTGATAATCCTGAGGTTTCATTGCACCCTGCACAGATTCAAGACATTCTGTGCCAGGTTTAGCAAAGCAGCCCCAGAACATAACGCAGCGTCCTCCATGTTTCACAGTAGGGACCGTGTTCTTTTATTGGTCTGCTTCACAGGTTACCTGTTGCAACAGCTTTGGACCAGATGGCTCCCTCACTCTTCTCAAGAATGCGCCACATTCCGAGATTTCTTCGCTCCAGAAGGGTCTTGTTAAGACATTCCAACAGGAATGGCTTGGGTGTCCAATGAATGACCTGCGCAGTAGCAGTAAATGCTTGTTTGCATCTAATTCCCTCAGTAAATCCCCGGGTGGTCAGAGTTTGAATGTCCGCCATTTCCAGAGAGTCTCATCATGAGGTGTCACATGTGAAATTGGCGTGAAATGGAGATGATGGGGACGAGAGTGGGGTGGGAGGGGTCGGATTACATCCGAGCACAGGCAGGTCTTGACTGGTTTGCTCCTGCACCTCGGCGGGCCTGTCAAGTCAAAACAGCTGACATCACTGCGCAGGAAGTCTTATTGGAAACGGGGGAAACCGGGGCTAGGAAAATATGCTTTGATCCAAACAAAAACACGTTGTAGCACACCATTAAGAACACCTGCATGCAAAAATGGCAACCGATAAAAGCGCTCAACGTCGACCGACAAGGTTGTAGTAGTATTAATGTAACAAGATTACTTCTTGCGGTGTTACAGCTGCACTGCATGCATTCATTGCGAGGTTCCAAATTCCGACACATTCGTCATATTTTAACATTTAACCACACATATTCGTCATATTTTATTTTAACATTTAACCAATCACAGTCATTCTTATCTGTGTCACTTCGGAGATGGATGGATGTTTAGCTGAAAACGGGGCAAAATAAATAATTGGCTCGTTTTTTTCTGAGACTGTTTTCAGTGCCAATGTAATAAGTGGGTGGGTGCTACCTCCTGGTGGAGAAATAATGAAGGGCAAACGCATAATTTGTCCCCGTGCTTTGATTTAGACACAGATGTCCTTTTTCTTAAAAATAACAATAATAATTATAATAATAACCAAATTATAAATTGGTTCTAGCCGTTTGATAAAATATTCTGACTTGTCTCTGAAAAGTGTTGAAAATTCCGATGAAAGGGAAAGCAGCAGAAGCCTCCACGTAAATTCGACGCCTTTTCGTGAGGTTATGACGTCACATATGCGGAAGTCGCTCGCAGATCCGTTCTTACAAAAAATTATCTGCGCACGGTAATTTAGTTAAAAACGAGTATTTGTGAGAGTTTCAGCCGGTCAAATTGGTAGAAAAGATGTTACATGTCACAAAGGTCTATAACAACCAGATACAAGCTAAAATTTACAAAAAAAGTGAGGTAATATTGTCATTGTATCATTTCCAGTATGCTCTGTTACTAGTTTGTAGTCAGTGTGGGTTTTAATCATTTTTTTTAAAATTCCGCTTGCGTGTCCCCCCCAGCTCAAATTGCACACTACAGTACTTAAGAAAGTTATTCACGGTGCGACACTGCTATCTTGTGGACAATTTTAGTAACTACATGCAGGTGGGAAAAGGAAAATTACGTCCTTTGATGACGTGTGGTCAGATGACATAGACTGCTTATAGCGCCCTGCGACCACTAAGAGGCCCCCAAGAGCAATAAACGGCTGGATTATTGGCACGATGCTGCAACGGGCCCTGCCAGTCAGGGGCCCTTCGAATTGTTACCACCAACAGCGCTCCTGATTAGAAATAACCCCAAATGGGTTACTTTTGGTTCGAGTTCAGTGGCAAGGTAATGCATATCTGCATGTATCTGCGTGCGTGCGTGCGTGTGTGTGTACTGGCGCCTCCCTCCGACCCCTTGGGGTTGTGTATGGGCTTGTAGCAGCCGCATTCCTCCTCTCAGCTGCTTCTCAGCTCGACATACCAGGGAAAGAGGTGGATAGATAGGAGGGGAAAGAGTTTTGGGGGAGGAGTAAAAGAGGGATGATTTGGGAGCCATTTTCAGCAGGATGTTGTCATAGCTAACTGTCGTGGGGCCCCTCTGCGCCACTGGGAGGTCAAATACAGTAAAAAGTAGGAAGCAGGCGTTGAACTCAGAAGAACACTTATGGGATTCCCATGCTTACACACTCACACTCGCACACACACACACACACACACACACACACACACACACACACACACACACACACACACACACCACTGCCTTTTGCGTTGCTCCTTGGCCACTCAAGTGTGGATAGAAGGAATAAAGTTGTTTGTACAGTTATGTGTGAAATGAGGGGGTTAGTCACAGAAAATAAACTATTGTATGGATGATGTCATGTGTCGGAAGGAAAAAACATATTTAGTGAAGAAGTGTGTGGATGTGTGTGGGTGTGTGTGTTTGTTGCTGGCAGTGCAACGCAGCCCTGCAGTTCAAATTCTGATCACTTTGTTGTTGTCACGGGTCAGTTAGGATCAAGAAAAAAAAAACTCAGATACTCATTTGTTTTCTGTGGAAGAGGTTTAATGATGTATCACAGTCTACTTGTTTTCAGTTTGTATCTCCGTTTCCAAACTTCCACTACTGTTGCCATCATCCAGAGCAGACAAAGGTCATGTTCACTGCCAAATCAATTTAGTAAATAATCGAGAGAGAAAGACTAACTGTGCGTGATGTATTTGTTTCAAATTATTTCTGGAGTTGTTTTAATCCAGAGTCGACATCTGACCCGCTAATCTGCGTTTTAATTCCGACCTTCACGTAATATCTCGCCCCGAAGCCCTTCGTAGTTAGTGGTGGAGATTAAAATCGTGTAATGGCTGCTTGACTGGATTATCTGAGCGTTTGCTTCTGATTTTAGATCATGGAGGGGATTAACCTGCTCCCTTGTCTATTTTTGATCACCTGTTGTGGCATCTTTTAGGAGAACGGTTTTTGTAGTACTGACAATTTTTGAATAGATCATTTTAAATTATGCGTCCCTTCACTAAACCACACAATACACACTTTTAGGGCGTTTTTGTTCATTAATATAATAATAGTAAATGTAAGAAACGTTATAAATACATTGCTGTACTGTTTTCTTCTACGCGTGTAATAAAAAATAGAAAATTTTAAAATGATGACGTGACAAACCGCGTCTGAAAGGCAACCTGAAGTTCTTTCCAATCAGAATCGTCCTTTTTATACACTGACGTTGGTTTCCGCCAATGAGATGTCAACATTTATTGTTTCCCGCCAATCATCAGCCGGAATTCTCGTGGAAGGGGCGGGTGCTGTTTCTCGTTGGCTAGCCTTGTCCGGATGTTCCCCAACAGCAGTGAATGTGGAAATCGAGCTAGACAGGGAGGGGTAGACAGACTTACCGAACCGGGTCTCTCTTTTTAAAGTCTAATTGCTTTCTTTTGTATTTCATTAACCACCGAGTTTGCATAGCTTATGTAACGCTACGGTTATAAACTTCATCGTTGTGGCGGAAACCCCGCCGTCGCCGTTGCTGCATTTTCCTCGGACTACTGTCAAGCATTGTGAAAACAGCAAAGAAGAAAGAAGGCGAAGCAACATGGGATGGGGCGATAAATAATAATCATTTTTAAAAAAGCAGACGAGGAAGGCTTGGGGACCCGACGATGACTCCTTGGGAGGATCCGTGAAGCATTTTTTTTTATTATTTATCACCCCCCCCACCCCGCTTCCTTTTGTCTTTTTTTTTTTTTTTTTTTTGTTATTGTTGTTGCTTTTTTCCCCCCTCGTTTACCCTGCTACTTCAGGGAGGTTGTTTCGAATAGAAAGCGGCCACAAGCATGATGGACCAAGCCGGCATCCTGAGAAAGTTTATCCAGGGCGTGAAAGCCATGACCGAGGGGGACGACGACAGAGGAGAGGACAACTTCGGCAGCGACTTTATGGTGGGTGAACAAAATGATCGACACCTAGGTGCCTTGCTTGGTAGCTAGCTAGCTAGCTGGCTTTGATCGAACCTCTATCTCCGCGGCTCTTATCGCACCACCTCCCCGTGTCCCGGCCCGCTCTGTCCCGCAGGATGCAGGGGGCGGCCGCGCTGCTCTCTTCCTCCCCTTTGCAGGGTTCACGCGTCGGCCTAGCTTTGTCTCCCAGCCTCAAACACGCCCGCCGGCTCCACACTCTTTCATATAAGAAAGCGAATCTTCCACATTGACCTTATTGTTGGGCTTTAACACAGCCGTTATACAGTTTGGCGTATTTCGCCTGACCTGTTATGTGACTTCCTGTTGTTATAAGATAGCATCTGTTCACAATGACCGATAGACAGACAGATATTAATTCACCAATAACAGTAAGAACTCAGACTCATTGATCCGTGTTCCCGAAGTAACCACTCAATACTGACATCCGGAGTGGCTTGTGTCTTACTTCAGTCATGCATTTAGTTCTTTATCTGATTTGTTAGTGCATGCTGTCAATGCAGAATACACAATACCCTACCACAAATTTGCAACCAAAAAGTCCAATATTTTCCATATTGCAAATACGAAGAACTTCATCAAGGCAGTTTTCAGTGCAATTGCATTCGAAGGCGGGCAACAGTGGCACCATATAATGCATTTACGTCATAGGTTCTTCCGGCACATGTACAGATTCGACCCCTTTAATCAAAGCACCATTGCCTTTGATTTAAAAAAAAAAAAAAGCGTCCTTTCTGGTGCAGCCCATTTCTCCCCCTCATTCATAAAAAAAAAAAACACTACCAAAAAAAAACCCCAAAACACATTTAGCCTATTGGTCATCAGTTCCCCCAGAGTGCAATGTGACAGACATTTGAGTCAAGAGAATTGTCACGACCAATCTATAGCACACATGTTGCCCTTCATCTCTTTTGTAAATAGATTCATGCATGATTTTTCTTAATTGTAAGAATAATTTTGGCGATTGGTGGCGGGTTTTTTTTGGCGTGCGCACCTGCCCTTGTAAAGGCCTGTGAAAACGTAACCATGCTACATTGTTATGTGAACACGTCAGAAAACGAAGTCAGCCACGCTTTGGAAATAGCTGAAATCATCTCATCAAAAATGGACAACATTAAAATTGGAAATACCTCTTATTGCACGTGTTCTAATTATAGGTTAGCTTGTAGCTTCTGGGAACATGTATAACATCCAATGCTCATTTCACGTCATATTTTGTGTGACGTATAGGTTGTTTGTTTAATTATGACCTATTGATTGGGATGGAGGCATTGGGCACCCGCTTTCACACATCACACACCCTCCCGTGAACTTCATGGAAGCTGTTTGCTTGCCGGAGCTTGCAACATTCTTTCATGGGTCTATTTCATAACATGATGTCCTTCCTTTTCAATGGCTGTTTCATTGCCTTTTGGACACACTTTGTCAAACCCCCTTAAAATTAGGTAAAATATCAACATACTCATTTGTTGGTTTGGAGTCATTGGTTGAAGTAGCATTTCTAATGTTCATGTAACTACTTATTAGCAAGTAAGGATATATAGTATTCACGATTGAGTACTCAACTGACATGCTGCAGATCATACTGACCTAACATTAACACGGCGAGCCTCTTGCGTCACCCTCAAACAGCCCGTTTTATTTATATATATATATATATATATATATATTTTTTTTTTTCCCGGAATTTTCAGGAAAGTCCACTTTCATCTATATATATATGAGAAAATGCCTCAATTGAAGCTCTCGTGCTAAATATTCATTAATCCGAGGCCTCTGGCTGACTTTGCTCTCATCTGGCCACGTTTGTGCGCCGTTCCTCTTTAATTATTCATCAGAGAGCCGCCCGCCGACAGGAAAACTTGGTTAGTTAGGCCGCGTGCCCAGTGCAACCAAGCGTTATGGCAGGTTGCACCAGTTTTTCAGACCCATGCCTCAATTTCTTGGCTCTCGACACAGCAAGCGTGTGTGGGAAGGTGCTGCTTTGCACCAGAAAACTTGGACTTTAACACCCAGTTTAACTGCCTATTGTTACTTATATATAGAATGTGTTTTATGCGCATAATTACAGTGCGCTGGTAGGTCAACGAGTCACAGATTATATGCTTGGCCAAATGCTGTGGGAGAATCTGAAATATTCAGCCAGAGTGCTTTTTGAATTTAGAACTTAGTTTCTTCTGGCATCATCAGCAAATACCGGCAATGTGTGTGTGTTTTTTATTTTTATTTTTTTTTCCTACGAGAACATCAGTGACTCATGATGTGAACAGGCAGCCCGAAGCAGACGTGGAGTAGCCCATTACCATCAGCGCTACAAATGCCGGTTGGAATAACCCAAGGACGCAAAAGAGATAAAATCGTCGCTGTCGGAGCTTTATCTGACTAGTCTGAAGGGAAACATAAGATCATAAGTGCATCTCATATATATGCATGCAATTTGCTCAAAGGCGTCCCTCGAGGCGCTGCATCCCGAGCCTCATATAAACCTTGAATTTAAAAGCCTTACCATGCCCCAAATGAACACATTGGATGCAAATACAGTCCCCTCCAAAAGTATTGGAACGGCAAGGCCAGTTCCGTCGTGTCTGTTGTATGCTGAAGACATTTTAGGTTTCAGGTCAAAAGATGAGACAAAATTCCCGAAGTCCAGCTTTTATTGCATTAATTTGGATGCATTTTCTGAAAGTTGCCAGGCAATGGTTTTGTAGACTTCAAAATTCATTCTGCTGTGACCGGAGATAATATTTCTCTCATTATGGCTTACAGTATTAAGCTTGTATATGAAGACTAAATGTAATACAAGACCCCCTTTACTCACAGATTAGTTGTCTGCTGTTTTTTTTCTTTTCTTTAAAGCTAAATGCTGACTGTGGCTTTTTTGTTCTCCGCCCACGGGCTCCGGATATATTCGTGCCAAAGATGAAAGATGCTCAAACGTTCCGAGTCTCTCAGGTTAAAAAAAAGAAACCAAAAACAAACAAGACTCGAGACTCCCGCCGGCTGCCGAAAGAGTTTTGGCCTCGGTGGCTGTCATCTCGTTAAAGCAGAATCTTCCGTCTCTGGCCGACATGTGTGATGTGTGGATGTTTCATTAGCTTGCTTTTTGGTTGGGGTACACAGCATGGGGGTGTGCTGCTTTTGCTGCCGCTGCCGTTGTCGTGTGTGTAGCCGCTCCTCACGCTACTATAAAACACTGTCCGATTTCTTCAGTGTCACAATCTAAGACGCCACCACCTTGGGCTTAACCCAATTAAAAACAAAAAAAAAAAACAGGCCTTTTGCCTCAGAGCTAGCTTGTTCCCACCGAGGTAGCTTGTGTCAACTTTGATGAAAGGTACAAGGAGCTCAGCAACCCAGACCACACACTCAGGAAATGATGTGTTAATGTCATGCGTGACTAAGGTGAAAGGAAATGGATACTCTGGGGGCGAGGTGGTGGTCCTATTCGCCCCAGTGTCCGCTGCAAATTCAAAAGGCGTCCCCTGAACAATGACAGCCGCATTCAAAAAAGTGGGGAAACTCAAATCCGCATGTTGCGAACTGACGACAGATGTCGCGGCGGCGAGGGCTCGAACAAAAAGAACACGGCATTATGAGCACAACATCAGCAGCAGGTTGGCGTTTTATGGACTGCGAATAGCTAAGCGACCGGAGTGATCCGTGCGCGGCCGGCGCGCTGCGGCGCACGAGCAGTTCCCGTCCCCGGTCATTAGGATTATGTGCCGTTGGTCCACATCTGCTTCCGGCGGCTCGGGGGAACAATACCGACAAAAGGATTGTGTATTGTTTTCTGTTGGTACGTGTTGTGTTTTGCGTCGTCTGGTCTGGCACTTGAGGCTCCATCGGAAGTGGTCGCCTTCAGATTTGTGCAATCGGGATTCTGTCGGTGCCAGGCCTTGATGAAAATGAAAGGTACCCTACACTTGCGACAGTGCGTGCCAGTCCCTTTTTATATTCACTTTCCAAGCATTGTCAGCGCTGACCTCTTTTCTGTATGAAAGGTGACCATCGGAGTGCAGCTTCTTGCACTGCCCGACATGCCTGCTACACACTATACATACGCAGGAGTGCACATGGTCCGCCAATCACCACTTGCGCCCGAACTGAAGAAAGAGAAAGTGCCTAAGTGTGTATGCATGTGTATGCCTGTGTGTGTATGCCTGTGTGTGTGTGTGTGTGTGTGAATAATTCAGTGCGCCAAGCAAGCACGGCGATGCTTATTCAGCCGGGAGACAGA